TGACCAAAATGCAAATGACGAAATGGAAAAATAATTTTGACAATTTCGACATGACGAAATTTACTAATTTCGACAAGCAACTTTAGCTGCAGGGTAAAGCCAAGATGAAAAGAAAACTAACCATTTAATTCCCAAAAACAAAAGAAAAAAAAACCTCAAAAAAACTACAAAAATATTTTCAAGTAAAGTCCCTCAGTCTACTAGCATACCTCTAAAAAAAATTTTTAAATATTTTATTCAAATAATGGTCAACAATAAAACTAAAGTAAATAGAGGACCAGATAATTGACCGGACCAGACCAAACTAGAACGTCTTAATGAAGTATTTTGAAAATTTTAATTCTTTAAATGGAATATCTTTCCCTTTTACATTATTCAAAAAAAAATTAATAAAAGTAAAATAAAATGTATATAAATAATAAAAATAAATGTAAAAGTTGGTTGTATATCATTGATATTGTTATATTCTATAATAAATAAATATCTCTATCTTATCAGTGCCTTGTTCGTTAACAAGAAACATTTTTGTTGTATTATTAAATATTTATGAAAAATTTTTTGGAAAAGAGTTTTTTTTTATTTTTATTTTTATTTTTTAACTCTGCATTAAAAAGAGTTATTGATTTTCACAATTTTTGTTACTCAAAATTGTTTTGTAATACCAAAAAATCATCTGATTGATAATCACTTAACTAAATAATAAGTTGAACAAAAATTTACATTTGCGAACTTAAATTATTAAATGTAAAAGAGGTGTGAAAAAACCCATTTCACTAATAAAAAATCCATTTCTCATATATATGGAATTTTTAACATATATTATTAAAAAGTAAGTATATTTTAATAAAATATAAAGTAAAATAAAAATTTATATAGTCTTAGTAGCTATAAATGTTTATAAAAGTATAATAAAAATATCATATAAAAGATGGTATCATAATAGATATTTTCAAACAATAAAAATAATTATTTTATGTCAGAATTTATATTACCATCTTTAGACGCAAATATATCAAGATTTACTGATCCGTTTTCTATAATTTTAGGCTCGTTGGAAAGCCCTTGTTCAGGACTTTATAGGCGAAAAAAAGCTCGCCGATTGAATCATTAGATCCAGAGATATTTACATTTAAAGTTGAGGTACAAACTTTTTAACATGCTTAAATGCAAATATCTTGGGATCCACTAATCCGTTTTTTATAAATTTAGGCTCTTTGGAAAGCCCTTGATCTGGTCTATATGAACAAAGAAAGAGCTTGCCGATTGGATTACTGGATCTGGAGATATTTACGTTTTAAGTTGAGATATAAATTTTTAACATATATAGTAAGTGCTAAGAATTATATTAATTGCTGATTCGTCTAAGAATGGCACTGCGTTACTAATAAAATTTGGGGTTAAATTTGCTGATTTTGTGCTAGAACACAATCTTCAGAAAAGGATATTTTTATAGACGACATATTAACTATAAATAAAAGTCATATGATATACTGAAAAAATACTTGAAAAAAAAGAATTTGCAAAAAAAAATTATACATTCATATGCAAGATAATATGTACGCGCATCAGATTTACACCTTAAAATGTAAGAAATTTCAATATTTTATTTTACTATATTATGTTATTTACATTACAAACATATATTTTTTGGCTTTCTAAGCTTTTTTTAAAGACTTTTTTTAAATATTTTTCTTTATAGAATTATTAAAAAATTGAAGGGTACTTTTATTTGTGAAATGGGTGAAATGGGTGAAAGTTTATCCTACACGTGAGATGTAAAAAATGGATTTTTTTATTATCATTAATATCCCTGAATTTTATTAGTAACGCAGTGCTGATTTTAGACGAATTGGCAATTAATTTAAAAGAAATATTTACTAAATTATAGTATAATAACATTAAATAAAAATTTTTTAATACTCATTCCCAATTTACTGTATATTTTTTTTTTTTTTTTGCAAGGTAGTGCAATTTGTGAGTTTATTAATTATATATAAGAATACAAAAGCATCTATTATATAACTAATTTATTAAAACTCCAAATCAGTTTCCCATCCATGAGATTGCTCCTATGTCCTACCATCACCTTATAAAATTCACCTATATCCTTCTATAGTTACTATTGAATTATATAGGATCACCATATTATAAGATTTCAGTATATGCTTTCACTACCCTCTAAACAAAGAAAAAAAAAAGGGTTATATTATATTACTTTTTTGTTATTATATACTTTCCAAAATACCCTATTTCTCTTTCTAATAAATTGGTTTATATATTGTCTTGCTTTTTCTAATACTATTGACCATTATTCATTATGTTTTAATATTTTCCTTTTTTCCAAATCATATATGCTATCCTTTGTCTATAAAGTTAGAATCCGTTTATATACAATATGTTGATGTGCTAATGGTCTTTTTCTTAAGTCTTGTTTTTTTATACCTTTGGTATGCTCCCATTCTGATATTACCTTACAACATGGTTGCCAAATAATATTGTAGAATTTGTTGACAAATACTTCTAGAAAGAGAGCTGCAATAGTTAATGCTATTCTTTTTGTCTTGACAATAATTTTGAGCTCCCTGTATTTTTTTTTTAAAAAGAAACTTCTTATCATTAAGTGAATATGTGAAATGAGTAAATTATTAAGGTTAACATCAATAGTATGGGTAAAGAAATTTCTATTTCATATAAGTAATTGTTGTATATCTTCCTGACTTAATTAAATATGTTTTTCCTATAATAAAAAGTTCTTGATTGTTTGATTACATTTACACACAGTATTATTAGTTATAGTTATCCATTTGTCACTGAATTGTTTGCAGTATATCATATAATCATCATTTTCATTTTCTTCAAGACATAACCTGCACTTTATTACATCTCCATATAAGTCATATCTTCTTTCTTTCATAATTTTTAAAGTTGGAAGCAAATAATTTAAAAGTTTCAAGTGTTTGATAAATCTATCATTTATCATTGATGTTATGCAATTAGATCCTGTGTTTTTTTTAAATAATGTTCAGGTGACTTCTTCTTCTATTGTGTCAGTTATGTCTGAAAATACCGATCTGTATATACGATTGAGGGACCAAGCTGCATCCAATGTGGATTTACACAAATTATCTATGAATTTTCTGATGTGTCTGTCAACTCTTTTACCATCCCAATAAATGTCATATATTAGATCCTTTTGTTATGAATCTTTAATTTTGATGCAAGTTACTTTCTTAGTATCATTTTTCACCACCCTATCTGCTTCTTCATTGCCTTTGACTCCTGAATGACTTTTGACTTTTACTAACTTTATTTCTAAGCGTTTGCTATCGATAAGGTTAATTATGCAACTTACTATACTGTAGTTGTTACATTTGCATCAAATTCGTGTTTTGTTTTTTTCATTTGTTAAATTTGTTCTTATGTAGTTGATACTATCTATAGCAACTTGTGAGTCAGTAAGGATATTTACTTTCTGACCTGTTTGTAAAACCAATGTAGCTGACAAGATAGCTCCTAGTTCTACATGTATAGATGAAGGCCAGTTTGTGATTGAACTACTACACTCTAGTATTACTTCGTCTTTACTATTTAGTATCACCCAGCCTGTACCCATGTATTTTGTAAAAGTGTTAGAACTATTGTTAAAGTGGTTTGTTAATGAGCCATCTGTATATATATTAATCATGTCAGATGGATTAAAAGTTGATCTTATTTGTTGTAGTAACGCTATATGCTGTGTCATGGCTTCATTGTTCACCAACATATTTTGTATTAGAGCCGTGCCACTTGTATGTAACTGGGACCATGCTCTATATTTTGTTATAATTGTGGGTAGCTTCTGGTTTCTATAATGTCCTTGATTATTCTAGTATCTGAATCAGTTTGGTATTTGGATACTCTATTTATACATGTTAATAATGTGCAGTCTTTATTGAAGCAACAACCACGGATTTCTTTGTTGACCCTTCTGTCATTTAGTGAGTAACCTTCACATCGCTTAATTAGTTTGTATAATACTTCGTTGTCCTTTCTCTGCTCACTGTCAGCTGTGATCCAGTATTGTATCGTATGTTTATCTATTTGATGCTTTTTGTTAATTTATCCGAATGTTAACATATGATCTTGTTGCATATAAATGAATTCTTTTTTTCTATTATCTATATATAGATGGTAGTTTTTTTGGCATTCTAAACGTCTGCGCATTTTTTAAATATATTCCATCATTTTCTAATCGATTTTCTAAGTCAAAGGGTACTTTATCCATCATATAATAGTTTTTTAGGCTGGATGTCTTTTGTATGATATCTGTTAGTAATGAAGATGAACCATTGTGGAGTCCTTCTTCTTGCTGGTCTTTTATTGATGTCACAGATTTGTTGCCATATATATGACTGTATATGAAGCATCCTGATTAACTAATTGTAATGCACTGTAGATCGACATAAATGCAGCTTTTCTTATAATAAATTCTTTATTTTTTCTATGCATCTTTAACACTTATTGATGGGTTTACCACGAAATCCCGATAAGCACAATCCCAATATAATAAAATCCTGAGGCACATATTCCCGACTAAGACAATATACTGAACGATCAAAATCCCGAAAGTATCATATCCCGAATGGTCTAAAATCCAGTATTTAAATTTCCTGAAAGTTCAAGTTACTGATGAGTCAAAATCCTGACACAATATTATATTTTAAATATCTGTTTGATTTTTGTTTACTAGGAAGATCATTTCCTACTGATTATATAATTTGCGGCAATTAATACAATCATACATATGCACTTTGATTTCAAATTTAAATTAATAAATTTAATGAATAAAATTTATAAAAATTGCAATTTTGATTTATGACTTACATGTTACAGTATATTTATTTGCATAAGCTAATCTAGCATAAATTAATCTAACAATACAGACTATTACTACTCATATTACATATAACTATGTAAAATTCCATTCACTAATATAAATTCTAAAATAATTCATCTTAAAATTAAAAAGAAAGATTGTGGGCAATACCACGAAGAAATTTCATAAGTGAACGGTTACTTCGCTCATTAATAATTGACATAATCCTATTTTCTCTTTCAATCCAAACTTTTTTCTGCTTCTTTCTTTGTTCTCCACATATAATACATTCAATTTGAAGCTCAACCTGCTGCTGTTCTCTTTGAATCTCATTAATAATAGTAAAAAGTCCTACATGGGATTCACCAACCAGAACTTCCCATCTACGATGCCAAGCCTCAACTACATTTTGGGTTCTTGAAATCCCCAATTGGATAGAGTCATATACCGACCACAATTGTGGTGGAAAAGGAACTGCAGAACGAACCACATGGCCATTTCGCATTTCTCAGCGAATTCTCCCAAGAACATAATTGTCTTCAAACCATTACACCAAATCATTGGCCTCTTGAGGCATTTGTGGTTTTAAAATATTAAAAACTGCGGGTATTTCTTGAGAGGGTAAAAAGGCTAGAGCAAATAAATGTCATACCATAATGCTAAAATGCTCATCATTTCCATATTGAATCGCTAATCCACATCTTTGTATTTGCCGCCACCCATTTTGACAAAGATGAAAAAAACATCCTTTATTATTGGTATCAGGAAATTTACTACGTGATACATTAATTGCTGCCAACTCAAAATCAGTAATGATACTTTGTGGCTTTAATTCAATATCATTATCTTCGGCAAACTCAATTAAATTTTCAAATAACCACCTGTATAGCACCTCAGATTTACGAGTCATAAGTGCATACACCAGTGGAAGAATCCTAGAATTGTCTTCAGCACTAACAGGTGCGTGTATTGTGTACATTTGATGGAATATGGTAGGAACAGTCTTAAATGTTCCGTCCATAATCCAAAATAATGCATTAGCTAAGTGCTGGATATTTTCTCTTGTAGTAAATAGAAGGATTCGTTCTTGACCAACCATATAATCTTTAACTAGGAAAATATTTCCATTCAATGTATGACAAAGTGATTCTGGTATGTTTATTTCAGTAATATTTTGTGGCTGAGGTGGCATTTCTGATTTTCTAACACGGCTAATTGTTCTACGAAGAGCATTAGGTGATGGGATGTAAGGATGAATTTCTTCTGGAATACTAATAATATTATCTTGAATTATTTTTGCGGGTTTATCTCTTGTTTCAGAAGCTTGACGCTTGATCTGAGCAGTAAGTTTTGCGACTCCAGCATCACTTGCTTGAGGTGCGTGATTATGATCAGTACAACTTCGAAGATAATGCAAGTTATTACATAAGGTTGTTATAGCATGGCCTTTACACCCTTCTGATTTTCTTTTTGCACAACACCAGTAAAATATTGCCTCACGGTTCCGTTCCTTTACCATCAAATAACCTCGAACATTGATTTTATTATTTCCCTTATTTGAAGGTACAATATCACAAACCTCATCCATTATTACAAGAAGTTATATGGTTAAATTATAATGAAGAAAATTAAGGTTTATGAAAAGTGTTTTACAATGAGGAAAGTTTTTGTCTAAAACAAAGGAGACTTTATGATCAGGATTAAAAGTTAATTCTGATCAGATTAATAGTGAGATCACGCAGTAGTAATTGACATAATAACTCCTTGCAATTGTGCAATCACTACGATATTATTACATAAATGGTTACATGAAAAAATTTTTTTTTCTTAAGTAGTTATTATTGTGTCTGTATTTTGACTCATCAGTAACTTGAACTTTCGGGAATTTTGAATTCCAGATTTTGGACTATTCAGGATATAATACTTTCGGTATTTTAATCATTCAGAATATTATCTTAGTCGGGAATAGGAGTGTCAAGATTTTATTATATCGGGATTATGGTTGTCGGGATTTCAAAAGGATCCCCTTATTGATATATAAAGTTTCTTACGTTTAATCCTATTAACGGTATATTTCATTCTTCATTGTCTGTTAATGGTTAAAATTTAAATAAGTAATTATGTGCTTTTCTCATTACATTGTAGGCGTGATTGTTCAGCATTTTGTTAGGAACTGTGCCGTCTAGTTCCATCAATAAAATGCAAGATGATATATTGAATATTAGTTGCGCCTTTTTTAATCTCATTTTAACTATGTCTGCTTGTTTCAATTGTGAGTTGATGGTGACTAGGAATTCTGTTATTTGCGTTGCTATTTGGTTTCTTTACAGGTTTTTTAATTTGCCTTGTACTGAGTTTGGAGAAGAATGTTGTCATGGCAGTTGCTGGAAAGTCACATTTTATGTTTAATTGTTTGCATAACTGACTTGAAAATTTCCTCATATTTCTTATCTTTTCACACAGTTATATTATATAAACGTGGTTTTAAATAATAAACTTCATTTAAAGCTAACAAATCAAGCATAAAAAATTCTGAAATTTCTTTATATTCTTCTTTCTGTTTATCATTTGAATCTGTATTGTTTTCATCTAATTCTAATAATATATTTTCAATAAGTTTTTCTTCTATTGCTTGTTGTAATTCTTTGCGTATACGTGATATTTGAAAAAATATATGTATACTAATATATTAAATTGTTTAACCCTTCAATAAAATTTGAACTAAATTTTGAACTAAAATGTTCAATTTGTGATCAAAAATAAAGAAATTTTATTGGATAAATTTTGTACAATACAAACTAATCGAAAAATACAACTGAACGATTTTGAACTAGAGATATTAATGGTTCGGTCCATCCAGTTTTCGGTCCAAAAACTGGTGGTTTGAGTACAAAACTGAACCGTTATAGGTTTAGAACCAGAGTTTGAACCGAAGTTTAGACCGAAGTTTAGACCGAAGTTTAGACTGGATATTTATAGTATTTTATACAAAATTGTGTAATGCAGATCATGAATTTAAATATATCGTATATCGTCAAAAAATTTTTTATTATAAGAAAAAAAATTACCAACAAAATTTCACATAATGTAAAAAAAAAGGAAAAAAAAAAAGACATATTGCAAGTATTGATTCAATTTTCCATTCTTTCTTTTTCTGATATCCAATTTTTCATGCATATAATTACCCTTGCCGTTTCAGGATCTAACCTATTTCTAGTTTTTGAAATAGTTAATCCCGAAATTGAAAATGCCCTTTCTGATTGAACTGACTTTGCTTGGATTGTTAAATAATCCTTAGCTATTTGAGATAGTACTGGGTAATCCTTTTCATAAGTTTTTCACCAAATTAAAGAACCTGTATTACTATCTACTGGCATGGAGAATTTAAGGATACTTCTTGACGAATATTATTTGGATTAAGTAAATTAAGAAAATAATCACGAGATGATCGTGCTGGTGCTGATGGTATGGTTTGATTATTTAAGGGTAAATATGACAAATATAATTCTTGTAATTTACTAATAATTTCAGTTATATCATTATGACTAAATAATGTGGTTTTTTATCGTGTATCTAATATTGAAGAAGTAATGGAAGATTGATTCAAATATTTGTCCCAATAGGCTTTCAATTTATTACAAATTGCTGATGCTATTGCCTTTTTTGTATGGTGATTTCCTCTTTGATAATGATCCAATTTTTTAAACATTCCATTAAAAACCAATCTTATATCTATCACCTTGTGTAGGATTTTTTGATGATGATAATAAATTGGTTGCTTCATACATAGGTTTGCTAATTCCTGTAAAAAAAAAAATAATAATTAATAAATATATAATTATAAAATAAAATAAATAATAATTTATAAAATAAAAAATACCTTAATATGTCGCTATTCAGATATTGTTGAAAATAAATCTCCAAGTTCTTCAACATTTGTTGTTGCAAGTAATTCTGAAACACCCTGCATTAAGATTTGTCTATTAATCATAAAATATGTGGAATTCCATCGAATGTCTATATCTAAAATTGGTTTAAGAAATTTAACTTTTTTAAGGGTACAAATTTCTGATAATTTATCCAAAAATAATGGTGAATTCTTGATTTTAACAACAAATTGACAAAGTTTTTTTATTTCATTTCCAACATTAGTGTATTATAAACTACACTTATGACTCATTCCTGCTTTTACTGCTAAATTTATAATATGTGCAGCACATCTGTAATGAGTAAAAGCCATATTATTAAACTCCTGATCTAATTCAGTTGCTAGTTGATTACCACATGCTATCATGTTGCTTCCATTGTCTGTAGTTAATGCAAGAATATTATTACTGATACTAAACTCTTCAAGAATTTGTAAAAGCTTGCTAGTAATTAACCCAGCTATATAAGAACCATTTACAGGAATTAAATCAAGTAAGAGATTTTTTAATTCCCAATTGTTGTTAATATAATGCATTGTTACTCCAAGATAACAATCTTTTGAGATTTCTGAAGTTCAAATATCAGTAGTAAGAGAGATTTTTGAGTTAATTTGTGAGACTTCATTAATTAACACATTTTTTCTCATTTTATAATTTTCTATGAATTTTTCCTTTAAGGTTTGTCTGCAAGGTAAAATATAGTGGGGATTCAATTTATTAATTAATAATTTGAATTCAGGATTTTCAACAATGGTAAAAGGTTGCAAATCAGTTGCAACAAAATCAACCAAAGAATCTGTTATAGGTTTAGATTTTTATGGATAGTAAGGTTTAAAACGTAAAGTAGTTTGGTGGGTTTCAGGTTTTTTATAATGTGATGGATGTTTTTTAGTTAAATGACGTCTAAGTTTAGATGTTGGATTACCAGGTGAATAAAGTTTTGCACACAAAATACACTTATAGTTTGTAATTAACCAACTTTTCTCATCTTGAATTTTTTGAAAAAACTCCCAAACATCTGCTGACAATTTCTTATTTATAATTCTTTCATCATCAGATGCTAAGGAATCATCTGATAAATTATTATCGTCATTTTCAAAAACTCCCAACATACAGTCGACTCTGGATATAACGAACCTTCCGTTCCAGGAGATTTGGTTCGGTATAGGATGAGTTCGTTATATAATATACACATTTTTATACCGAACTGTTCGGTATATAAAATTAACCAATAAAAATATAAACATGTGACAGTTCGCAATAATTTATTTATTATACGATATTTACGATATTTTATTTATTATTATATTATATGTAAAGTATATTATATACAGGAATTATTGTTCAGTATTATTGTGAAAGTAATTATGAATATCAGCTTGTTTTAAATTTTCCACAATTAGCAATTTAATTCGCTTATGCAGCCCTCTTAAAACTTTTAATTCGTTGTTTACTTCACCAAATTCTGGTCCTTGTTCATATAAAAATCTCATTATTTTATTTGCAGCATCATCTGCTTCTGCTAAACTAACTTTTTCCAATACAGGTAAAGATTCATCTTCATCAATTAAAAGCTCTTCTTCATTATCTGCATTTAATATAGTATTAATTATTTCACGATCAGTAAGTCCTCCTTCTGGCATTTCATCTTCTATATGAAGATACTCATATGCATTAAGATTACTTTTTGGAAGTTGAGCAATTAGCATATCGAGTTCCTCAATTTCTCTATCTAGTATACTAAAAATTTAACATGTGCATTAATAAAATTTCGTAATAATTTCTACATATACACTTTGTTATATCATACCTATCAGAAATTACTGAATCATAATCTTCAGGAATTTCTTCAATTTCATTATTTGGTGGAAGAATACCTGTTTTTTTCCAGCAATTTGAGATTGTTTGGGATGATACCATTGACCATGCTTCAGCTGCATTTTGCAAAGCATCATAAATTGTATAATCATCAAGTTTTTCTACAATACCATCCTGCATATTATCATATGCATTAATCCGATTTTGAATAAAAAGTCGTTTATAATGACATTTAAATGAATGAATTATGCCTGCATCACATGGTTGAAGTTCAGTGGTGGTATTTGGTGGTAAAAATTTCACTTTTACACTATCTAATTTTTCCCGAGTTTCGTCTAAAATAAGATGCACTGGTGCATTATCAATTAATAGAATGATCCTTCTATTTTTTTTTTTCATTATTTCATTAAGTTTAAGAAGAACCATATTAAAAATACTAACTTACATCCAAGCTTTATTGTTTCAAAAATAATAAACTGGGAGGTTCTTATAATTAATATTTTTTATAACGCGTGGAGCTTTGTATTTATGAATAAATGAAAGAGCCATTTTTTCTGTCCCAGTTGCATTTGTCGCACAAAAAATTGTAACTCGAGATTTTTCTTTCTTATATCCTGATAAGGGACCACGTGCTAATACCCTAGAAGGTTTCATTTTCCAGAAAAGGCCAGTTTCATCGCCATTCCAGATATCCTCAAGCTTGTAAGGTACAAGAATCTGTTGTAAAGCAAGTCGGTCATGTTCTATTGATTCAGCAGAAGGTGCACTTGCGGCTTCACCTTGCTTCTTGTATTGGCATAAACCATAGCGTTTTTTAAAGCCAGTTAACCACCCGTCTGATTGATGAAAATCTTCTATTAAAACTGGTTAGCAAAGTAACTCGCCTTTGTCTTTAAAATATTACCATCAATATCCTGTTTCGTATTAAGTGCATTGTCAACCCAAAGACTGAGTGCATTTTCAAGTTGTGGCCACTTTGGACCACGAAATTTTTTAATACTTCCTTGACTTTCCGTAATTGAAAGCCATCGCTCTTTTTCTTTCAAAATATCAGTTATTGTTGACTTTCCAACACGGTATTGTTGTGCAAGACTAATGTTAGAAAGGTTAGGATTTTTTTCCTTTGTCTCACAAAGTTCACGTTTTTGTGTAGCAGAAAGGATAACTCTCTTTCTTGACATATCGGAATTTTTAAACAAATTTTTTCTATGTTCTGATAAGAAAAGATTATCTGCGTCTTGGTAAAATAGATTTTCCGTGTCTTATGCATGATTGGTGTAACTAATTTATCACGTGATATTTCAGTATATCAAATATATAGATTAATATAACCGTTCGGTTAAAATAGGTTCGGATGCGGTATATAGCATTTTATTATATAGTTTCGTTATATCCAGAATAATTAATTATAAAAAATTCGGGTCTGTGATATTTGGTTCAGTATATCAAAATTTCGGTATATACAGGTTCGTTATATCCAGAGTCGACTGTAGTTGTAATAATGCAAGGTGATATAAAAAAATGTAAGAATGTAAAATCCGTTATTCTTATTGTAAAAAGTTATGCGTGCAGATACACGTAACCGTTAATTGAACCGATCTAAAACTGGTTCACTAAACTGGTTTTTATCGGTTCAGTTTCAGTTTGGTTTAACGTTTGAACTGAACTGAAATCGGTCCTATGATCAAACTGCGGTTCGAACCATCCAATCATAAACTGTTAACATCCCTATTTTGAACAGGACTAATATGTATTTACAAGTTTATTTTAATTATTAATGTATAACATATAAATAAATAATGTATCATACATTTCTAATAAAACATTATACATATGGTGAATAAAGAAGATAAATCAATATTAGAATTTAATAAATCATTTAAGCCATTTAAGAAAATCTAGTCTAACAGCTATGCTTAACTTATAATTAAGCTCAATTGCTCAACTCATTTTTTTTAGCAAATTAACATCCCTAAGCAATAAGTTCCAAATAAGAAAGCTTATAATGAAAAAATGGCAGATTTCAAAGATTGGTATAATGAAGAAGTATATCAGAATCTTGAAAAGTTATACAAATTATATTTAAATGTAATTTAACTCCAAAATCTTGGTCAATTAAACATTTGATAATTCAGGCCAAAAATTAAAAGTCACGTGGAGTGAAAATTTTGGGCCCAATAAAAAATATTATTATTTTTCCACGACTTACAGTAAATAATAAAGTAAATAGGGGTGTTAAAATATCATCCGAACTGCGAGTACAAAATAAATCTGACCAATAAAATTCAACAAGTCACGTTACCGAAAATTTTTTGGGTGTACTTGGGTAGTTAGATCAGTTTATAAACAAATCAAAATAAACTAGTTTACCATCATCTTTATTCTGCATGTTAACGCGAACATTAATCGCTTGGCAGAAATATTATACTTAAAAAATACGACGATACTCATCTGAATTTTTTTTTAATGAAGATTTATTCTTTCATTATTTAACGTCTTCTCCCATTACCGTATAAAATAAAATATTCTGTCAAGCTGGCGACTTCAAACCCTCAACATTTTCAACCGTCTTCCCCTAAACAAATAACAACACCCCCTCGAAAACGGTCACCACGTTCGCGTCTAACTACTCCTACACATTCGAGGCTGACATCGCCACCTTCTCGTGCAAAGTCGGCAAAGTCCGTTGGTGGGTCGCCTAAAACCCCTATTGCTTCACAGAGTGATTTGTTCAAAATATTCAAATCGTGTAAAAAGAAAAGCCCTAAAAGTATCATCAAAAAAGAGATTTTGAAATTGGACGTGATTGCAAACGATTGGATTTGTCCGGCTACTCCATCGAAGGGAAAAAAGAACAAATTTCAGGTTTATTTCTAGGATTGATATTTAAATATGTTAATAACTTCAATACGAGTTCTAACGATATTAGCAAAAATATTTATTAGTGCGATCGATTTATTCCAGTACGTGAAACAATGGGAGAACCATCGGAACAATTAAGAATACCCCAAAGAGAATCTGGCAAGGAACAATATTTGAACAGTAATGAACTTGAATATCAGGAAAAATTAGCAGAAGCATGTGGTGTTTCTCTCGAAAAACGTATTTTAGCATTCAATCTCCAACCTCCGTCGAGCCAAAAAGATGATCTACGTCAGTTGTATAACCAACCAATGAAACTTTCTACAATTCAATTTAAAAGACGTATATTGACATCACCGGAACGTGTTCTTGATGCGCCAGGCTTATTGGATGATTATTATTTGAATTTATTAGATTGGAGTATCAAAAACATGGTTGCAATTGGACTGGATCAATGCGTTTATATTTGGAACGCTGATACTGGAGGCGTAACAAGTCTTGAACGAACTAATCCAAGCGATTACATCGCTAGTTTATCATGGTCTTACAATGGTGATTATTTAGCTGTAGGAACAAGCGATGGTGATATTCAAATTTGGGATGTTTTAAAAGAGCAAAAAATTAGATCTATGTTGGGACATACAGCACGTGTAGGAGTAATAACATGGAATAAACATATCATCTCTTCTGGATGTAAAGATGGAAATATTTGGCATCATGATACCAGAGTTGCTCAACATAAAGTAGCTGAGTTGATTGACCATACTAGTGAAGTTTGTGGATTAAAATGGAACTCTAACGGCGATCAATTGGCGAGCGGGGGTAACGACAATCGGGTGAATATTTGGGACGCAAGAGCAAGCACTCCAAGATTAACAAAAAACAATCATGTTGCTGCTGTAAAGGTAAGATTATGATTTACAACTTCTAATTTAAAAGTAATTATAATTTAATTTCCTTGCTATTTTGGACTTAATAAGGCTTTAGCATGGTGCCCTTGGCAAAGTCATATTCTTGCTTCAGGAGGAGGTTCTTATGATCGGCATATTCATTTCTGGAACGTGAGCTCTGGCGCTCGTGTAAAATCTATTGATACAGGATCTCAAGTGACTTCGATCATTTGGTCCAAAGATTTTAAAGAACTTTTATCAACTCATGGATTTCCGAATCATAATATGACGATTTGGTCTTATCCTACTCTAAATAAAACTGCCGACATTCCAGCTCATGAATCTCGTATCTTACACTCGACTATCAGTCCTGATAATCAAGTAGTTGCCACGGCAGCAAGTGATGAGAATTTGAAATTTTGGAGGGTATTTCAAAACGCAAGAAAAAATGAAAAATCTAAAAACAGTGATAAAGAAAATACAGGATCTGTCTTTGGCGGATGTACAATTCGTTAAGCGGACGGACAAAGTTATTAATAATGATAAATAAAATGAATTTTTTTTTATAAATTTACTGATCATTGATAATGCAATTGATAATGCTTGATTTGATTCTAAATTTCCGCAATTACAGCCTTTGATCCCAAGTAATCAATCATCTATAAACTTGTTCTATATTTATATTAAGCTCTCCATAATGTCTATGTACTGACAAATACAAAGACAAACTTTTAGCAATGATGTTGAGACATTGCATTATAATACGCGTCTATATGAGAATTTTAATTTCATACATTCTTGTAAAAGAATTAATAAACTTGAGCTTAACAAGATAAGGCAAAATTTGTTATTCGTGTTATTAAACAAGATAACGACAATTGTCAATGACGAAGCTGTAGTAGGTACTAACTTCTTTTGCAGCAATTTAATAATGAAACTTGTAAAAAACTTTTCGATACGCAAATGTGATTTCCAACTTCAAGCTAGTGCTTCATTTTTGCCCTTTAAAATTAGCATTAACAACAATAGTTTTTAATTTTGCATTAGGTAATTTTACTTTCGAACAGTTGTCATGTTTTATTTAGTCGCTGCATAATTTCATCACGTGATTATAAGGTAATTGATCTTGATATAATACTATAAAAGTTTACCGATGTATGCATATGTGAGTGAATATCAGAAAAATAAAAAAGTACATAGAAAACATACAATATATAACAATGCAAATGCAAAATATTAAATATCGAAATATTATTTTTTTTATTAGTAAAAAAATTTTTTATTAAGGTCTAATAATAAAGTCTAATGATAATTCATGTAACTAGTGCATTTGACATTATTTTTGCAAAGTTTAAAAATCTAAAAAAAATTATTAATTTTTTTTTTCTTAAACACATAATTTTAATTTATAAAATTAATTAATGTAAAGGTATAAATTGTTAACTAATGGTATAATTAAACTAAGTGTAATAATAACTATTATATTAAAAATATCTGATTTTAACTGTAATTACCAGGGACGACAACAGCGCAACCTTCAGTACTCTTTCCGGTATTGCACTTTTTGGTGTCAGTGCAGCAGCGAATGCAGAATCTGTTAATATCAGGTTCAACCAAGTTCACGAAATTTTTAAATCCTTTGCATACTGCACCAGAAGGTGCTTTAGTATCATATTGACCGCCTCCATCACTTTTTTTCAATTTGTACTTAGTTCTGTCAATGGTACCGGTTATTTGAACAAAACCTGTTCCTTTAGTAAAGTGAGCAGACTTAATGAAACCGGTGGGAAATTTTTTGGCTCCAGGTGCATTGGTAGGGTTAGCCTGAGTGCAAAATGGTATAGCATCGTCTTCACTATCCCCGATTTCTTCCCCAGGCGTTTTTGGAAGGAACGAGCAGAATACATCATTACTTTCCACCGTTACGGTTTTAGGTGTTGCGCGACTTAACCATATAGCGGCGGCATGGGCAGATGCAACGATCGCAAGAATAATAATAAGTGTGGATAATTTAGCCATTTGTATTAATGAATTGATTAAAGCAGAATTGAATTAACTTTATTAAAATAAATTTTAATAAGATTAGCTTTAATTCTTTTTTTTTCGAATTTTCGAGGAAGTATATATAGAGAATTTACCGTCAAAAGGAATTAGAATATTTTTGGACAAGATCTTTTTTTTTGTTGATATTAATTGCATCCGTATGTTTTCTATATTTAGTTAATTAGTGTATGCATTTTGACGAATTAAGATCTCTGAGCATTTTATGATTTATAAGGAACTTTATGTTCGCACAACTTGTTCTAATTTTATATCTGAATTTTCCTAATTATAATACAGAAAAATAATACAATAATATAAAATAATCTGTTTACGAAAATGAAAATAGATAATTTTGGTCTGGATATTCATTTTCTTGCACTATTTCAATTGCTGATCTTCAAAATAAAGTTAAATGTTATCGATTACTTGCATTGATGTGCGTAAAAATTGCCAAGACTTTGTTAAAAATCTTACGTAAATTTTTTAGCAAATTTTATGCATTTAATGTTGTTATTTTTAGTAAATAATTTTACAAATAAAATTAAATACATTTTTGTGAAAAGGTTCATGAAATCGTTACCACCAATAAATCTTTAGTTAATTTCAGATTTCATAAAGCTACCTTACCTGATAATACACTTACGTAAATCTCATAACCAATTACCTACATCTGCCAATAATTTTGTGAATTTTTGTAATTAGGATACAAAATAAAAATAGCAGTGTTGTACATGGGACATTGTATGTCCGGCGATTTTTTTTGTCCCAAATAATATGTCCGCGTCCATAGTCCGCGAATTCTGCGGACACAGACAAGCTGTTAACCAACCTTAAAAATCTTTTGACTGGAATAAACAAGAAAAATGCTGGCAATAATGCGGACAAAATGTCCCGGACATGAAATTATAGCGGACATGGACCAGACTGTCCGGTTCCATGACAACATTGCTCATAAGTATAGTTATATACCATTTTATTCTAAAAAAAAACTCCATAACAGATAAAACCAACATAGATTTTACATAATTACCATAAATCCATGTGGGATACTGTTATAAAAAATGACAAGTATTAATTGTTTTGAGAATTGTTTTTTTCAAATTTAACCTACATCTCATTTTTCCCTATAAAAAAGTCAATTCGTGTTTTATATATTCCATCTTTTTTCTGTAAAAGGCTCATATTTCTGGAATTAGTAACTTTATATCATGGAATTTATTGAATAATTTCATTTTCCGTGAATGGCATTTTTACGGGTTTTTACAGAAATAACGGACAAAATTTTTTATATGGTTTTGATCATTTGCATAAACTTCTATTGACTAGTCTACTTTAAAAAAATAAATTTATTCTATATTATTTACTGTATATATATATATACACAATCCCTGTTTTGCACTTATACTAGTCAAAATAGTTCACTTCAGTTAAATGTCGGGTTTACCACAAAATCCTGCCAACCATAAAATCGACAGTCTGTCAGGATTTTGATTCAATCGGGATTTGCTATTATGGGGGTCAGGATTTCCCCTTTTCACCGATATCCATTTTGCCGAAACTTATCTCACCGAAGCCATTTCACCAAAGGGATGTTTCGCTGAAGGGTACTTCGCCAATGGGATGTTTCACTGAAATACTATTTCACTAAAACCCCATTTCGCTGAATTCCATCTCACTGACCAAATGGACATTTTGCCAAATGTATATTTTGCTGAATGAACATTCCACCAAAAAATTATTTATTCCATTTGGTTATTTTAATTGTTTTATACTAAAATAGTATAATTATAAAGAATCTTTTCTAGAAAAATTTTTTAAATTAGATGATTTTTATTAAATTTATCTCGTTGTTTATAATACATTAAACTTTTTTTACTTATTTTTTTGTGAATAAATGTTTTGGGATTCTAAAGTTATTTATTTATTGCTTAGAAATTAATATCAGTTACTTGAAAGTTAAAGCGATAATATCCTGGAAAAAAAAGACCCTTAAAATTTTATTTTTTTATTTCATTGCGCAATGAATATTTTCATAAATGTTAATATGGACGATTTGGTGAAATAAATGTCAGTGGGATGGATTTTGGCGAGATGTACCATAAATATATATTAATTAAGAATATCAAAAAATTTTAGCTAAAATTTAACTAAAGTACAAAATTTTAAGTAAAATTAAATTAAAGCAATATATAAAAGAAATTTAAGAAAATTTGAATTTAAAAGTCTAAGAAAAATTAAATTAATTTACAAAAAAAACTAATTTAAAGCCAAAATAAAGTAAATTAAAATAATTAAAAAATAAAGCTAAAGTTTAAATCAAAACAACTTATAAATTATGATATTATATTAATATCTGATAAATCCAAATACTGTAATATTAATAAAAAATAAAATTGAAAATTGAATAATTGATAAAAAGAAAAATTAAAAAAGTAATTACAACAAAATTTAGTAAAAATTAAATCAAAATAAAATTTAAAAATTTACTAAAATTATTTTAATAATTGCATATGTTTTAGGATCATTTTAACACTCACCGGAGGTGAAATTCATCATATCACGTGATATTTATTATTATATTAAAATTTAGTAAAATTCATCGCATCAAATTTTTTTTGTGTTTGAATAAACATGTAAAAAAAATTTTTTCTATTGACCATTTAAGCATAAATTTTTAAAGTTTTATTGACAAAAAGTTTCTTTTTAAATTAACATAACTTCAATTAAACTATTAATGAAAAATGAAATGAAAGTGAAATAGGTTGATGAAAACAGAAATGGGATGAGGTAAAACAAAATGAAACAATACAAAGTGAATTGAGATGATGAAAAATAAAGTGGAATGTTGCAAAACAAAATGGAGTGATGAAAACTGATATGAAACGATATGAAGCGATATAGAGTGATAAAAAACGATATGGAGCAATATGGAGTGATGAAAAATGATATGAAGCGATATGGAGTGATGAAAAGTGATATGGAGCAATATGGAGTGATGAAAACTGATATGAAGTGATATGGAGTGATGAAAACTGATATGAAGCGATATGGAATGATATGGAGTAATGAAAAGCGACATGGAGCAATATGAAGTGATGAAAACTGATATGAAGCAATATGGAGTAATAAAAATGATATGAAGTGATATAGAATGATAAAAAACGATATGGAGTGATATGAAGCGGTATGGAGTGATGAAAAGTGATATGGAGCAATATGGAGTAATGAAAACCAATATGAAGCGATATGGAGTGATAAAAACTGATATGAAGTAATATGGAGTGATGAAAAATGATATAGGAGCGAAAGGGACAATGATAAATGAAAAGGATAATTAAAAACAAAGTGGAAGCAAAGAGAATGGTAGAAAAATAAAAATACTAGCAATAAAAGTGAGTCTTACCTTAACTTCTTGAAGTTATTTGAAATTGTTGTTTTCTGAAAAACAAGTTAACAAGTTAGCATAAGAGAAAAAGAACATTAAACTAGCGAAGTAATAAGAAAATAAAAAAATCTTGCCTTAAGAAGTTCCAGTAAAAGCTGGTCATTTTGAAAATAATACTACAAGAAAGCAAAAAACAAAATATGCGTCACACATTTGTGTAATATGAAATCACCTGGTGAATTTCACTGGGGTAAATTTAAAATTAATGCATTGCAAATCAAGGTGAAATTCACCCCAGTGAAATTCACTGAAGGTGAATGTAAAATTAATCCTATGTTTTATATGTTTTATAAAAAAATTATTTTAAATTAAACTTAATATTTTAATATTAATAAATAGGATAAGTAAGTTCAATTATTTATATAAAAGGTTTTTTTATATATTTAGTGTTCCACATATGTGATTTGAAATGACTTGCATAGACTCATATAATATAAATAATATAGTTAAAGTATTATAAAAATTAGCATAAAACAAATTTTATCATATAAAAAATTAATTCAAAAAACTTAACTTGATTCAACTTGTAAAGAATACTATATATATCTGTACAAAAATGCAAAATACATAATATATTATATATATAATTTTTAATTTTGAAAATTTTTAAAAATTTATTATTATAAAATTTATAAAATAAAATAATGAATTAAAATAATTTTTATGATTTTTAAATAGGTTGGTAACTAAATATTACAATTGAATCTACTTGACTAGCTGAGTTTAATATAATGTCAGCTAAGTTCATTTTGGTTTGATTCTGCAAAATTATAAACTGCAAAACTTAGTATTTTTTGCATCAAATTTTTAAATATTTAGATAGGACCCACTTACTTCTAATAGAAGTCTCCTTACAAAATTTCAGATTTACTAGTAATTTTACCAACCCTTTTTGTCTCATAATTTTACCTTATATATAGTATGACCTTTTAAAATTATATTGAATTTTACTTTAAATTTTTAAAGACCTAAATTTTCTTTAAAAAATATTTAATTATTAAATAAAGTATTTTACAATAATTTAAAATTTTTTTAAACATTATATTACTGCCTGTAAACTATTCTAACTATTCTGCTAATTTGTTTATTTTTTATGTTCCTTTACTAGGATTGTGATGGTAAAACTTGCAAAAAATTGGTAGAACTGTATGAAGTGCATGAATATGTTTATGAAAGACTCAATAAATATAGGAAAAACAATTTTGATCAGATATATTCTGGTATTCTAAAATATAAAATGACGAAAAATGCTCTAGTTAATCTTTCTGGACATTTGAAAGACTATTACAGAAATAAGTGTATTATCCTGATTGATGAGTATGACTACTTTCTGAACTAATATTAATATTACAAAAAAATTTGCAGTTTTTTTGACTTTCTATTTAAAGTGCTTCTCAAAGTAAGCATTTATTTTAAATTGTTTTCATAGTATCGTGTAAATTATGACTTAACAAATAATTAAATTTATCAATGTGAAAATTTGGAGAAAATCCTCTTTATTAGTATTTCTTATATTGCCAAATCAGGATATTTATTAGGGCTTAATAATTTGGATGTGTTCCCAATGTATGATCAAGAATATTCAAACAAAGAATAGTATAATAGTTATATGGCTTCAAAAGGTAGAATTCATTTATACAATTCATGGTTGATCAATAAATTCATTAGAACAGATTGGTATTTATCTGAAAACTTTAAAGAAAAGTTGGTATTTTTAAGTAAAAATAAGACAATTGATATCAGTATTTGGCAAAAGATTTGAAATGACCAAATGATTCAAATAACAAATAACAAATGACATGTCATTTCAATGCTTAAACTAATGATAAATAATCTTGGTTATCTGAATGTAATTTTAGCTAACATTATAATTTTTGTTTATTTTTTAATTATAATCACATGATTATTTATGTGATAAATATTAGCCAATCAAAATCAAATAATTGAAATGACCAAATGACAAATAATTATGAATAATGACAAATGATTTCATAAATTATTTAAAAGGTCAAATAGCCAGATCATTTCTAAATACTGATTAATATAGAGATTATAGAAGATCTTGATTATATATGACTTATTATTTCAAAATGTAAATGATATACTGTGGACTTTACTTTATTATATGGGCTACCATATCATGAATGAAAATAATTATCTATACATCCTAAACATGAAAGTTTTTACAGAATGGTGGAGGTAATTGCAAAATAAAAAATCATTTAAGCTAAACTCAATGTTAGATTCAACCTCACGAAATTTAAAGAGAAATTTCTGAAAATAATTATTGAAATTCTTTCATATTATAATGTTATAGACAAATTAGCAGCGATTTTGTAATTTGTAAATATGGGTTGAATTGAAGCATCAGCTCAATCCAATCTAAATGAATTTGTAAATGCATCCATCCTAGAGTGTATTATGCCCCAATTTGGTCCAAGAAAGAAATCTGGGATGTTTGGAATTGGAAGTATAAGGATATAATATCTGAGACCAGAGTCAAGGAATTAATTAAGAAGTGGAGTTGCATTTTGCGATGAATCTTCATTGAATATATGAACGAACTGAATCTTAAATACTTAATCTTTCAGTGTAATTTACATAAATTTATGAGGGGCGACTTAGATAATGAATACTCTGGAAAAGTTATACATATTATTCCTAATGCTGATTTCACAGATAAAACATTTGAACTTGTCTTAGTAGAAGCAAGTGAGGCTTTATATCAATATCGTGCAAAAGACAAAATTATATATATAATCTGAGATTTTGCGGGAAGTTCTAGTAGAACTTTTGCTGAGAATTTTTTTGAGATATTAGCACATGATGTCTTGCGAAAAGATAACAAGTTTAAGATACGATGTTTAACTGATGATAATCATAAATGATCTGCACAAAATCTTGATCTTCAAGGTCTAGAACTCAACCAGTATGATGATGTTTAAAGAATAAATTCTGGGTATTATAATTTTCTAAAAATTAAAAATTTTGAGTCCATTGATGCTATTGCGCCTGAAAATAATGGAATTCATCATTTATATCAAATAACAATTGCAAGAAAACATAACACTAAGGTAAATAATATAAGTCCTATATTAAGTATGGTATCTATTATTATGTACTGAATATATTTATACTATATAGGTAAACGGTCTTCTTAAATTGAAAAACCATCTGGAAGGAAATCTACCGATCCATCTATATTTCGTCGTTCCAAATATAAATTGTATTTTTGATAATTTTAGTTTTCAAAACTATGTTATAACAGAAAACGAAAAATATAAAGGATGGAATGCAACTACCAAATAGATTGAAAGATGTGCATTTAGCGCCCTTGGTACGCATAATTAGCGCTATGGCCGTTAACACAGGTCGAAAAGTGAAAAATCAGGCACCAATTTGTCACCAATCAGTTAGCTGATTGGTTACTGATTGGTGACTTATTGGTGCCTGATTGGCATTTTCGCCAAATACCGTCACCAATCAGGCAGTTTGCTAACTTTTGATCCAGTGATCAGAAAAGAATGAAATATAGCTCATTGGAATCGTCTTAACAAGACAAATCTAATGGTAGTAAAATCATATTTCTAGGATTAATACTTGATGAGAAATTAAGTAAAATATAAAAATAAAAATGTATCATTTATATTTTATTTAATTTTTTATTAACTATTAATCCTAGAGATGCGATTTTACTACCATTAGATTCGTCTTGCTGAGACGATTCCAATGAGCTATATTTCATTCTTTTCTGATCACTGGATCAAAAGTTAGCAAACTGCCTGATT